ATCGGGGGAAAGGCGTACAGACGAAGCCTCGGCCATGTGTGTACCATGGCATCCAGCCCCAGTGGAGCTGGATGAATCAGAGAGAACCAGAGGGGACAGTGCGATGTCTTCTGAGTCGCAAACAAGTCCACCTGAGCCTGGCCAAACACTCTCCATATCTGCTTCACCACCTCGGGGTGAAGCATCCATTCCCCGGGCCTCAGCCCCTGCCTCGACAGGATGTCTGCTTCCATATTGAGATGCCCAGGAATGTGCACTGCTCTCAGCGAGAGGAGTCTGTCTTGGGACCACACAAGGATCTGGCGTGCCAACTTGTACAAGCGGCGCAAACGCAGATCTCCCTGGTGGTTGATGTAAGCGATTGATGTAAGGTTGATGTTGTCGGTGCGCACCAACACATGGTGAGCTCTCAGGTCTGGGAGAAAGTGTTTCAGTGCTTGAAACACGGCCAGCATCTCTAGACAATTGATATGCCACGTTAGATGGCGACCACTCCACAGACCGCGGGCAGGGTGGCCACTCATGACCGCACCCCAGCCGGTGAGGGACGCAGCTACCTGCTCTGAACGAGCTAAAATCAACCAATCGTCGATGTAGCTGAGTATGCAGATGCCCTGGATTCGCAATGGAGCTAGGGCAGCATCCACACACTTCGTGAAAGTACGGGGTGAGAGTGCAAGGCCATTGAAGCGTCTGCACGCCGACCGAACTCCGAACTAGCTGCTCTGGGGACCTCCGCAGAGGCCGCGAGCCTCTCAGGCTCTGTTTTTGCGTCTCCCTATGTGAGGAGCTGGTACGTGGTGGGTACTGCTGCTGCCCAGCAGCCCCCGGAGCTGAAATACGGCGAGGGAGGAACTGCTGAAACGCCGCCGCTTGTTTCCTGGTCCCTGTCGATGACTGAATTGACAGTGTCGCCGAACAGGCCAGAAGGCGCAAGCGGGGCGTCGAGGAGGAAGACCCTGTCTTTCTCTTTCATGTCAGACAGGGTCAACCACAAATGCCTCTCTGCTGCCACCATAGCTGCCATGCACCGCCCAAATTGGCTTCGTTGCTGAACAAGAGTCCTGATGCGGTAGACAACGGGGGTTCTTGATGAGTTCTTTAGGAGTGAGCTGGAGGTTTACCTGGTTCTTCTGAAGATAGGAAAGTCCACAGCGGATCGACAAAGTTACTTGAAGATAAAAACTGCTGGATTATATGCAAATGTCAAAAGGCTGAAAGGGTCTCTGAGACATAAAGCCCCCATGACCCTCAATGATCCTAAGCAGACGCCACAAGATTGTATCAAAATTTGTGCAAGTTACCTCTGAACATGCATGGTGTCAATATTGGTAAACCAAGCCCTTTTGACAGCAACATTTGCCCAAGGCAAGGCTAAACAACACAGGACACACAGATACAATGTATAGTACCTCTAAAAAGAGTGTGGAGTGATTTTATTAACAAAGAGCTACTTATACGCTATCAGTGATTCTTCAAAATAGCCACCATTAGTTAACTAATGATTTTAAACATTGCTGATAGAGTTCCCCTATATGCTTGACATTACTTTAGCTGCTTTTCCTTCACACCACACCAAAAGATAGTTTTGTAAAGAAATACATTACTTTGACTGATATTGTGTGATTTATTTGAACAGATGTTTATAAGCTAAAGTGTATATAGTACA